ATATATAAAAAAAAATATTCCCACAAATTGATAACCTTCTCCTTTTTGTGAAGTCGGTTAAAAACTAAAAATTAAAAACCTTCCTTTAAGTTTGAGAACGCTATCAGCGGTTATTTGAGATGCATTTGAGAAGTAACGTTTGAGATTTAAGAAAAGCACTGTTTCTCAAGTGCATCTCAAATTGAGATTTAACAAAAATGTTTATTGGGTATGTATGTATGTGTATGTATACACATACACCCTCATTCCAAGTTGGTTTAATGTCTTGGTCATAAATTTACGTTGTTGCTTCGCACTAAACTTTTACGCCCCACTCGTGTTTGGGGTGTTCGTTCGCTGATATGCCGTGACGAATTGCGCTATTCCCTGCAGTGTGAGTGGCGAGTGAGCGCACATTTCACACTATCACTATCACCGGGGCCCCACTCGGGGGATGTTATGGGATTTTATTTTTCTAGCAACTGAACTATGTAATTTGCTCTTCACTTTAAAAGGAAATTTACGAATGCAACAAAACTTTAGATAGATGGCTTTTAAAGTTGCCAATTTTTCGTGTTGCTTGCTATTAAATAAGAATCCTTTTTTCAACTCAAAACTATGTTGATGTTCATTTCGTTCTGGTTTTTTTTTTTGAAAAGTATTTCAATAGATCTGTTCATGAAAATCGTGTCCAAAAACTTGCCAGCAACTCTCTAGTAACTTATTTTCGGAGAATTCGCTCTCATATAGAAAAATATTCAAACAATTACGTGAACATCATACCAGTAACTGTTCGCAAGTTTCAGCTGATTAACTTGTTGTTTATTCACAGCATTTTCCTAATACCCACAGCATTTCAAATCTTATTTTTATGTTTAAATACAAAGGTTTATTTTGTCAGCTTCAATTGCAAAAATCCCATATACAATTCCTTTATCCAAAAAGTTGGATAGTTGGCACTGTCGATAGTATGCGATAGTTATTTGGACACCAACGATAACTATCGATAGTTTTCGATAGTCTTCTTAACATACAATTTGGCTTTATATTGCGCTAAGCATATCTGCAATAAATATTTCTTAATTCGCTTGCTTAGAGTGAAAATTTGCTAAGTACATTTTTAGAAATCTTACAGGAGAGGAAGAAATTTTTCATAGCCATTTTCTACAAGAATTTTGCGAAACTTTTAATAAAATATTTTACGTGTTTAAACCAAAGCAAAATTTCATACGAATCAAGTTTCGTTGCTCATTAAAAAAATTCCAATTTTTTTAGAGCTATTTTTTTATTCACTACCAAATATTTTGTAATTCCTTTCACGAATCTAACCTTCACTTATCCAATGTAGACACCAAGTTCTGCGCCGAGAAGTTTCTGGAAGGCATTTTTATGAATTCTATATTATTTTTATTTTAGGATTTTTAACGGAAATATTAACAAAATTCAAATGTTTATTCAAAATAGGTAAGTACTACATAAAATTTTAATGTCCAAAATAAACTACATTGCTTTTTGTATGCATAGGTACGTAGTAAATAAAATAATTTATTCTACTATGGTGGTTTTTTCGCGCAACCACAAATTATCCCCTTATGTAAATTTTTACTCAAATATTCAACACTGATCAGTCAATAGTAAACAAACAAACAAACAAAATTATCGCATTATGAATATTTCATAAACTCTGCTAATTAATATTACACTTGAAAGAAAAAAACAGGCACACACCGCTGCGAGTGTCACTAACAAAACCACAAAATTGAAAATGCTAATAAAATTGTGTTTAAAACATAATAACGCGCTGCCAAAAAAAAATAACATACATACACACACAAAAATATTGCGGCCGCGCGTTTTTTGACATTTGCTGGCAACAACTCCCTGTTCGTCGTTATTGATTAAGTTTTTGCCGCTGCCCACGTAGTGTTGATAAGTATACATATACATATACGTTTTTTTCTCCTGGGTAACATTTATGTACATGCATACCTTCACCCATGCATATTTAAATTGTAAACTTTTCACAAAAATTGTTTAACGACATTGTGAGTTATTAGCCGTCGTTGTCAACTGGCGATGTCATCAAATATGCACTGTGCCAGGTGACACGGAAAGAGCTGGCAAATTGTATGCACTACACATAAAATTTAAATAAAAAAAATATTTGATATAAAAAAAAACAACATCCTAGAAGGCGAAATTGTAATCTACAACTCAAAAAAGTTGCTGAAAAAGATATGTAAACTTTTTTTTTAATATCAATGTTGAGTCCTTCTATGCATATTTTCAGTGAGTTGATATATTGTAGCTTCATAGATAATTTAAATTTTAGTTATTGTCAGGGGCGCTGCACAGGGTGATAGGTCGCAACTATTGGACAGCTTAACAAAACTGTATAAAGCGAATTAACGATTACATCGGAAAGTAAGTTCGCGAAGACAGCCATCTCCAGTGTGGAGCAACCAACCATCGATATCTGCTCTAAACAAAACTTTTCGTTCCCATTACATTTATATGTATGTATTTACCAGCATATATGTAACATTGATATGCATTTGAGTGCAAAATGCACTGTGTATTGCTGTTGCTATTGTATCGTGGTTGTTTTCTGTGCGCCACTAACATTTTATTATTGTTTGCATAATTTTAGTGATTTTTTGGCCACACGCCAAATGCATAGTTTTGCCATAACACAAAAATTGCAAACATGCAATATATATATTTTGTAATATAATGTAGCCAATACATATGTAAATGCATGCATACATACATATGTATGTACTCATAAGCCTCTCGCGCTGAGTGGGGCCCGCAATTGGCCTCCACTCTGTCTGTTTCTGGTTCGCGGTCGGACTTTTTCCCATCATAAAATGTGGTTTTGGAATTAATTACGGACATTAAAGACATTTACGTTAATTTAATTTCGAAAAATTGTGAAATTATTTATGCCCAGCTAAATTGCCATGTGTTGATGTCACACAGTGGTTGGCAAGTAATTTCATTTTTTTTTTCAGCTAGATAATATTTAATGTAAAACTGCACCACAGACCAACAAAAAATTATGATAATATTGTAGTCTCATTTTAAATGAATGTATTCTAAAATATGGATCTATGACATTATAAGCTTTTCTTGATGGTATGAAAATGGTAATCGGCTTAATAGATTTATAAGGAATCCGCCCCTCTCTAATGTCATCCACAAAAAAAAAATCTAAACTTAACCATTTATTTAGAGGATGAAGATTTAGATTCCACCAAAATAGTTTATTTGTTGATGTTATTATAAATATGTATGTATGTACGTTCGTTGATCTTACTCAAATTTTTATGTATGTATGTATGTAGGTTCCGTAAGAAACGGCGTGCAAATATGGGAGTCTTGAGGGTGAAGCTCAAATATCCTGAAAATTGGCTTAACTAAGTCAAGTTGAATTGGTGAAACCAGCCCTAGCTGTGCTTACAGGGAACTTAGCAACAGTCGGACGGCACTCTTCTTCTTCTTCTTTATTGGCGCGGTAACCGCCTAAGCGATTTTAGCCGAGTCCAAAACAGCGCGCCAGTCATTTCTTTTCTGTGCCAACTGACGCCAATTGGAAATGTCACATGAAGTCAAGTCCTTCTCCACCTGGTCTCTCCGACGCTTTCCTCTTCCTCTGTTAACAGCATCGCAACCCGCGTTGAATATTTTCAGAGCTGGAGCGTTTCTATCCATTCGAACGACGTGACCTAGCCAGCGGAGCCACTGAATTCTAATTCGCGGCACTACGTCTACATCGTTGTAAAGCTCATACAACTCATCATTAAATCGTCTGCGGTATTCGCCATCGCTAACGCGCAATGTCCCGTAAATCTTACGCAGATTCTTTCTCTCGAAAACTCCCAACGCCGCAACGACTACTTTGGTAGGTTATCTTGATACTGTCAGTAGGTGACTATTCACCGTTTGGCGGGGAGAACTCAAAAAAGAAAGGAAACAAAAGTCGGTTTACACTTTTGTTGCTGCAAAGGTTGCACCTTTTAACTTTTCAGAAGTTAAATTAAGAAATCAGATTTTTCAGGTTTTAAGTTGAAATTAGTATAATTTTGCAAAATTTAAAAAAAAAATTGCCTCTGTATAAATGGGCTTAATAACTTAGTGGAATTTTTTTCTTTCGTACGAAAGTTAAAAAAAAAAAAACCTGCAAAGTGACCACTCTAGATCCCTCGGTTGTGAAGGATTAAAATATTTCAAACAATCAAAAACTTTACCTCTTTAAATTATCCATTTATTTTGCCGTAATTTGTTTTGTCCACAAAACCAGGCATTTAGACTCCAAAGTTTAGAGCATAGTGCGTTGATAAAATGTTTAAAAACATGTTTATGCAGACCTTTTAAGATTAAACTTTTCAACCATGTGGGGTGAATTATTCTAAAAAAAAAAAAAATAATTTAAAAACTGTGTACTCAAAAGAACTCCGCAAATACTGAGAAAAAAGGTTTAAAATTTGGATGAAAATTTGTAGATATTTTCTAGTTTTCTACAAAGTTTTAATCTTGGGTTTTTAAGTATGTCTTTTGTTAGTGAATGAACTGTATTTTAATTGAAAATTTTTCAAAATAAATTAGTAAAAATTAGTGGCAAACAATATCACTTTGAAGTGGGGTGCTATTGATATGACCGATACTGTATATATATGTATGTAAGTACGCTTGGGCGCATGAAGTGTTTTATTTCAAAATTGTATCTTATAAAAGCAATGGAATTGTCCAGTTACGTAAATAAGTACATATTTTTAAGTAAAGTGCTTGAATCGGTTTTTAATAAATTATACAGAGCTAAGGTGCTTAATTGTACATTTGGATTAAACAAATGTTAAATAATAGTAATTTTTCTTCAGTTAGTATGTGTGTGGTAATTTGACATGCAAACAAACTTCGCATGATGTATGCACTTACATACTTATATATGTATGTATGTATGCTGGCATGCAATGTTTAAAGATCGTGCGAACAGTTTAGCATCATTCCAATGGGTTATTTGATGCAAAAATTCTTGAATGAATAGCAAGCGAAAAGTTATCTGCTTATGGCTCGTGGTTTGATCTGGACTTCCCAAGTACAGCTTAGGATGGAGCACTTAAAATCATGCACTTCCGATTTGCGACTTGTCGCATTGATTAAGATTACTAATTTTAGAATTTATTTTACATAGTTGTACACATAAGTAAGCACGGTTGTAAAAAAAAAGACACTGCAACAGAGAATATCATGAAATTCTAAAGAAATTTAACAACTTTGGGAAATCGTAAGCAATTATGACTCCGACAAAAAGCGAAAATTTTAAGACTCTATAGACGTCATAAAAATACTATTTATTACTATACATACTTAAATAAAACAATGAAAACTATTTATAAGTACATTTTCAATATGACGTAGCATTCGGAACCAAGCGTCGACTCATCAGTGATCATCAGTTCCTCGGTCTTTGTCTATTAAAGTGGTTAGACACTCGAGTCAGTCTTCAATAGATTTTGGCAGCGCGTCGTGGATTGACTTTTATTTTAAATTTGTTCTTTGGAGAGAAAAGTTTATTAACATAGTTTAAGATTGTTAAAGGACAACTGCTTTTAAAGAAAATGCTTATTAAAAATCCGAACAACATCAATTTACCCGACTATTTGAATGAACAGTTTTTTGTGAATGCGCTGGCAGCAGGTTTGCGGGAGACCGCCGAACTCGAAGTTATTGAAGCCGTTTTCGAGTGGGGCAGCAAGCCGGGCGACAACTATTGCTCACGCATTTATCGCGTCCTGATTGGGTTCAAGCGAATGCCACCAAATAAGGAGCATTTAGGACAGGAAAAACTATCATTGATAATTAAAACTATTCCGATCACCAAAGAGACGCGGTTTCTCGAAGATGCTGGAGTATTTTTGAAAGAGAAATTCACCTATTTGGATGTGTTGCCGCGGCTGGAAATACTTCTGGATGGTCATAAATTCAGCGCTAAGTTAGTGTCACACAAAACTTCGGCACAAAATGAGAAATTCTTAAAAGAGTTCTCAAAGCCTTGTCGTACCAAGTTTGCTAAAATCCTTTTGTTTTTCAATTGAATACCAAAAGCCTTCAATTTGCTTTTGCACTAAACTTTATCTCTTTTGCACAGCTGCTTATATGCCATTAAAGCACCGATGCAGACGATCGTATTCAATGATTTGAAAATGGATGGATTCACCACTGCTTCGCGGCAGGACCAACTCGATTGGGCACACAGCGAATTGATCTTGCAGCAACTGGGCCGCTTGCATGCCACCTCAATGGTTTTGGCCAAGAAGGTGAGCTTTTACCATAAACACTATAGGTTCTATAAGATATTCGGCTAAAAATTTTATGTTGCACATTTCTTTGTCTTCTAGGATCCTACCATTACTAAACGCCTCAGCAAAGGCATGCTCTGTGAAGAGAGTGTAATGACGAGCGATGCCTATAAAAACTTGTTCGGCGGCAGACTAAGACAGCTGGCGCTGAATGCAGCAAATTGGCCTGGCTTTGAAAAGATCTCACAAAAGCTGCACAATTTTTATGATAATTTCAACGCGATATGCGCGCGTTTGGCCGACTATCGCCAAGGCGATCGTATTATTGTGATGAATCATGGCGACCTGTGGACCACCAACTTCATGTATGCTTATGACGATTCCAAGCAGCCGCATAAGCCGACGCGCGCAGTGTTCGTAAGTTTTCATTGAAAAATTACACATGCGCTTTTCTTTTATTTTTCTTGTCTATTTGAATATTTTCAGGTGGACTTTCAGCTAAACTTCTATGGCAGCCCTGCTTGTGATCTGAATTTTCTATTCAATACAAGCATACGTCTGGAGTTGCTCCAAGAACGGCACGAAGATTTAATAAATGTTTACTTTAAAACATTCACGGCTACACTAGAGTTTCTTAATCACGACAACATACCGACTCTGGAGGATCTGAGGTATGAGTTGCGCGCACGCGAACTTTATGGTCTGTTCGCACTGTTTGGTTTTTTGCCAATGGTTACTCTGCCGAGGGAGTTGTCCACGGACAACAGTATTGAAAAAATTACGGATGAGAACTTTGCTCAGCAAAAGTTCGAGATGGTTTTTGCGCAAGAACGTTTACAAGCGCAAGTTAAATACGCTCTACGGCGTTTGGATGATTTGGGAGTTTTAGATGAATTATTAAAATAGATAGGCATACTTTAATAGATAAGGACTCGTTTATGTAATTTTTGATTTTTTAAAAACAAATAAATTTTTTTAATTCTCATATAGTATCTTTTAATAAATACAATAGTTAAAATCAGGGTTGGGCAAACTGCACTAAATCGAAATTTTCACTAACCATGTGGATGTGCATTTCCGCTAAGTTCATAGTGGCAATGAAACCAATTTGTCACTACCACTATGCATACGGTGACCATCCGTTCTGTTTTTTGCAGGACCGTACTGTTATTTAAAGGTCTGTCCTGCGTAGTTTTTCAAAACAGAAAACCCCCAAAATGTCCCGCATTTTCTTCGATATTTTATAATTAACTTTTCCTTATAGAAATAAAAGCAGTGTCGATAACTAATTGATAACTGCATAAGGGTAAGCTGGTTTTGAAGGTTCAACTAGTCGATGCGTTCTAAATATTGTACGGTTATGGACAATGGATGACGAGAAATTGAGGACCAGCATCAAATATATCGATAACACTGTTCTACAAATTTTGTGGTAATCGCTTAAGAAAAAAAAATAGTTTCCAAGCCAATTTTCCTTTGAAACAAGCGCTTTCGTAATTTTTTTAAAAAACGTGTTTTTGGTACATTTCGAACCTATTCGTCAATATCTCATGGAAAAATTATCCAATCAACATAAGCGACCTACAGTCCTCTTACAAAAATATATTACCTTGCGACCAAAATCGAAAAATTGAAATTTCAATCATTTTCTTTTTACAGTAAATGAAAATCTGATGAGAAATGTAGATGTTACGGAACACAATCTGCACAAAAAATATATATTTTTGCAAAGAGCCCATCAATACCTTTCGAACTGTTGGTCGTTTCATGAGATATTGAGGAATAACTGAAAAAGTACTAAAAATACGTTTTTCGAACAAATCTCGAAAACACTTCTTTGAAACCATGGGTATTTTTTCGTGTTCAACGACCCAAAAATTGCCTAAACAATTTACTTTACATTTCATTTTCATTTTGTCCAGCATACTTTGTATGGTAAAAAATCAAAAAAAGGGTGCGCTATTCAAATGACGAAGAATGTATATATGTAGTAGATTTTTGTTATTTTTATGCTACGCAATTACATGTAGGTACATTTTTTGAAAAATTGTCCTGCATTTTCAAAATATATTTATGGTCACCGTAACTGTGCACTTAGTGGTAATCCATTTCAAACTACGCTACCACCACGTGAATAGTGCCAATGAAATTCTTAAAAAAAGGCTAGATAAATAAAATTTGGACAACCCTAATGTACATATACAACTTAACAATGGAGCTTGATTTAAATTCAAAGTGGGTCTCTGATTTAAAAATAGCATATACCAACCATACTCGTACATCTTTTTTTAAATGTTAATCTACGCGGCGACCATTTATTCATGAGTTAAATGAAAGTTTTGATTAGAAATGTCAATCAGTGTGCGCATATCAACTCAAAGGCAGCATAGAATGCGGTATATCCACAAACGACTCATTAATTGAGACCAATTAAACAGAAATGGGATTGCAGTCGGTATTTATCAAAACAAATAAATGGATTTCGTAAATCTGCCATTCCAACACACAGAAGTCTTCATATTAAAATGAATTGTAAATGTGCAAAATGCAATAGTTTTGACTGAAGAGTAGTCGAGTGAGCTTCCGAACAAAATCCAACGCTGTAACTACATATACCGTGGAAAATGGCTACCTTTGCGATTGGTGAAATACCCAACTACTTCAATACGGAGTTTTTCAAGAGAACACTAGAGAATGGACTACGCACGGGGGACATCAAAATACTTGGCATTTCCATTGAGAATCTAACAATGGGGGGCGAAAATTATTGCAGTAATATTTATCGCGCGATCATCAAATACAAAAACACCGACGATCAGCAAAGCGAGCAAACGGTGATAATCAAAAATATGCCAAAACTCAAGCAAGGCGTACTTAGCCGCTTGAACATCTATCGGAAAGAGACAATCTTCTATTTGGATATCAAGCCTAAAGTGGAGGCGCTTATGTGGTATTTGGGCGAATCGTGGAACCTGGCCGCAAGGTTGGAGATATGTATTCGTTTAAATTACCTACTAAAGTGTTTAAAAATTATTTGATTTTTCTCTTTTTTCTAAGGCACTTCCATTCAACCACCGAACCGGAGCAGAACATCATTTTTGAGGATCTGAGTGTGCTAGGTTTCTCCATAGAGAGTAGGCAAGCTGGACTTGATTTGGCGCATGCGCAAATTGTTATGGAAAAATTGGGAGAATATCATGCACTTACCATGGTCATGGCGGATAGGGTAAGTAGTTAAGATATAATTCGTAGGAAGTTATCGAATTCAAGTGGACAGTGCTGTCTGCACCCTCCTTAAAATCCCTGTCAATTTAGAAAAACTAGGTACCCATATTTTCGCGTATATTTTCATTTTTTGTGTATAAAATTTACTGTCGCACGGTGATATACATATATACAATTTTTTGAAAACATCCTTCAGGAACCCGAAATAATCATCGATCATTATGCTTTCGGACTTCTGAACCTTGACTCCATAAAAGCGGATGCTTTCAAGGCACTTTTTGGAGCGCAACTTCTCAAACTCGCCACACTTATAACTGAAGATCCCGCCATGCAAGCGATTTCGAAAAAATTGCTGAAATACTACGATCATTTCACAGAGCGTGTTCTCGAATCTGTATACCCCTTAAGAGGTGAAGTGAACGCGCTCAATCATGGCGATTTGTGGGTTAATAATTTATTCTTCAAATACGATGTCAATTCATTGAAATTCAAAGCACCAAGTGAAGTACGATTTGTAAGTTTTATAAGTACATGTAAATATGTTTGTACATATCGTCGCTACCATGTGAAGCCATCTAATGTGCAAATATGTTTTTTTTTTTCATTTTCGATACCTTGCGCATGCGAATTTTTTTTAGTCTTCTTAGAAGCAGAGATACTGGCTTTAACAAAGTTACAACAACATTTTTTAACTTGCTCTCCTGAAAGTACCCATTTTCACATGCGACACTTTGACATGGTAGCGACGATATCGTCACCTTAAATGCAAAAAGCCGTAACTAACAAAATTTGTTTCCATAAAACAATGCGGTTACTTGTAATTCGATGAAATGCATCAAAAGTGAAGTTTGTTAGTTACGACTATTTGTATTTCAGTTGACGATATCGAGGGCTTATATTCAATACCCTCTATCTGCAGTTTTCACAAAAACTACTTTGCGATGTTAGATCCCATCTAGGACTTACCTGTCATCACTGATGTTAATTCTAACTTTGCAATTTAATAGTAAATTCTACTGTCAAGCTTTATACCAGGTCACCATTAATGTCACCGATGACAGTTAAGCCTTAGGTGGATTTTTATATCAGAATCTCATTTTTGTGAAAAGTGCGGATAGAGGGTATTAAATGTAAGCCCTCGATATTTAATTTTCCAACAATTCCTCTTAGCCTACTTACTCGCACTTGCAGATCGATTTTCAACTTTGTTACTATGGCAGCATTGGCTTCGATATCAATTATTTTCTGAACACCAGCGTTCAATTGGATGTGTTGCAGAACTGCCGTGAATCCTTAATCGAAACGTACTATGACAGCCTGCTGAGGACCCTCAAAGCATTGCCCTACACTGCGCGACTGCCCAAATTTGCCGATGTATTGCGGGAGATTGCACAGCGTGAGGCTTTTGGCTTCTTCGTTGCGTTCGGCTTTTTTCCGCTAATGTCAATGTTTAGTATGGACTCGCACGATAACTCATTGGAAAAATTTTACGATGAGGAGTTTGCGCGCCGTAAAATTGAATTGATGTTTCAGAGCAATCCACGCACAATGGATACGTTAAAATATGCGCTTAAGCGTTTTGATGACCTGAAGATATTGGATTAAAAGATGTTTATTTATTATGTTGATAAAAAAAATACAGATTATAGCGTTTTTTGAATATGCAGTATTTTAATGTTGATCAAAATGGTCATTAGTTTCAGATGATCTTGCTCAGAGGATCGACTATGCAATTAAGAAAGCACAAAACTGTACATGTGGTGCATGGGATCGGAAGTTAATTCATTCAAGCAATGTCTTACGCCTAAGTCGGTGTTATGTATTTATTTAATTTGGATGTAAAGTATGCTCTGGTATTTAGGAAAACAATTTGACCGCTGATCTCCTGGTCAATTATTGCATTCAGAGTAAATGATAAATTTGCCCAAGTTCCGTGAGAACGGAATCCGATGAACAAAAATTATTGCTTCTTGATGTAACCTTCCTTATGGCTATCTGTACGAGACTCAGTCAATCAAAAAAATAAATAAACGGCATCTTCGTTGACATCATATATTTTCTTTCAGATTCTAGCTTAAGGCTTGTGGAACTATCTTTTTTTCTAACCACAGTAAACTAGTATCCAATCGAGAGTTCCAATACTTTTTTAAATTTATAACTCCTCGAAAAAAGCGATAATTCGCAAAATATTTTTGATCCTTTAGATTACGAGTTATCGAGATTTCCCTTTCGGTCGTTCTTTCTACCCTTTGCCGAGAAGATACTCCGATTTATTTGCAGATCTTGTAGACTTAAAGCAGTTTAAGGAAACGAAAACTGGTTAAACCAAAGTTATAAGTTGTATGTATTTTACTTATTTCACTCAAATCGATGTTACAAACAAAATTAATCGATTGAGCTAAAAACGACTTTTCAAGAACAACAGTGGATTTAAAACGGTTGCGGAACAACTTAACAGACGCACATTTAATTACTTATCTCAAGCTAGGCACGAATACTAAACAAAAATAACTTTCAGCACGCGAGCATATCATTTAGCATAAATTACAGTTAAATGTCGATAAAATGATAAAAGCCTTTGGTAATTTGCGTTGTCGACATCTGGTAAAATTGAAAATTAAGCAGGCCTTCCTAGAGGATTTAAAAAGTATGTAGGTATTTTACACCATATCACACAAAAGTTCAGATTGTTACAGGGTATTTTGAACAGTCATAATGGGTATTTCTGAGGTATACATTTTTTTCGGCACCCTGTAAAAACAGCCAAATCGATTTTTTCTGAAACTCCCGGAGACATGCGGTTTAAAAAACTCATACATATATGTATGTATGTATGAGTTTTTTCCCTATTTGCTAATGGGCCATTCCATGTAAAAGAGGAAAACGACATAAATTTAAATATGCCCTAATTATCTCTATTTCAGTTGTAACCTCTTTTTAAATAACTACATTTCATTAATCTGTTGAAAAATATGAAAAAATAAATAAAAAGAAGTGGTAATTTTTGTCTATGCCAACTTTTATTTCATGCATAATTACTTAACACCAGTCACAAGAAAATGTCCCACCAGCCACAACTTTAAATATTCTTTAGTATTTCTATGAAAATTATATCAACCAAATTTTTATTGAAAACGAAAGCGTATAATTCATATTTCACAACACAAAAACATCGTTCGTGACGCTTTTAAAGGCCTTATTCATAAAAAAACAAAGCGCCTTATAAATTGACGTTTTCACACATTTTTTCAATTTGTAAACCTTTTATAAAGCTAATTTATTTTTTATGAATAAGGCCTTGAGTTCTTTTCAGTGTCGCACCAGCCACATTAAGTCAAATAATAATTACATAAAACTAAGAAATCGTTTGGTATATTTATTAAAACAATTTATTACATTATTTATCCTTCTACGCTAAAAAAAATATCTTTCGCTGTTGTATAAGTTCCGACGACATAGTTATAATGAACAATTGATCACATTCTGGAGTAAAATGTCCCACCAGTCCCAATGGAATGGCTCTAATATAACTCATGAAAGAATTACCCTCTTATATTAAAATTATAATTTTCTTGGTTTTGTTAAAATTTTTTAAAATATACATTAGACGGTATCACGATGTAAGGGCCGTAGAAAAGTTCAATTTTTTTTTACGCGGTTTTGAACACTTACTAAAAGAATATTTCAGCAAAGTAAAATTAATATTTTTTGTTTTGATTATCCACTGGCAACTGTACCGCGTTAGCATCTTAAAATAAGCTAATCTAGCCAATTATAACTGGCCGTAGACAAGCTCCGCAATATAGTTATACATACTTATTTAAAACATGACAATAATTATATTCTAAAATGATTCTCCGAAAGTATAATGGAGTTGTGGATGAAGCGGTCTTTAGCAGTCAATTAAATGTGACGTCACCATTAGTATTGTTGACATTGTTAAAATTTATAAGCCTCGTGAATGCCAGCATACTCTGTGGGAAAAATCTGAATCAGCGGAACAGTGACTGGGCTCAGGATTGCCTTCAGACTGATAGTAAGTTAAGGACAGAAATAGTAGTAGGTTGTGAATGTCTTCTGTGCTCACTGGAATTCAATTTTTTTGAACGTTTCGCCATAACAGCTACAGGGTGATTAGGTGAAAATGTCCATTATATTTCAAAAATCATCAGGACACTTTTACGCGTTGTTCAACTGTTCAATTTTGCTATTCCGACTTGAACGTGTGCTTGTTGTATAATAAGTTATCATAATCGTTGTCAACATTATCGTCATTTCATTTCGACAGTTGGTCAATGCGATGGGAAAAAACGAGCTAGTAACATTCATCGGAGCAGAAACCAGTTTTGAACGAATTGATTTTCCTGCGGGGGTCAAATTGACAGCAGAAAGGTGCACACATGTGTGTGATGCAAATAATATAAACTAGAAATCTTACTTATTTAAGTGAAATTATATAATTTGTATATGCATGGGCGTAGCCAGGTAGGGGCAGGGGGGCGAAGTCTGAGCCCTAACTTCCAAATTTTTGCCTAGATATTGAAAAATAGTACCAGGAAATGTTTGCTCGATAATCGATCGGAATCCCCCCTATATATATATATATATACTATATAACAAATTATACACCCAATGCTAACAAAATAATTAGTAAATTGATTTAAAAAGTGGATATGTGGATCATCCGATTCTGTATCAAGTTATTCTCGCTAGCTTCAAAGCACTTCCATTTAAAAAAGGGTAAAAACCTGGCTACAGTCGACAATTTGCGGAGGAACATTACAGAGTATACGGAAAAGTTTATTTTTTTACATTTTTTATTTTGAATGACGTCTGGTCCGGTTAAGAAATACATCAGGTTTAGTTGAGATATTCGCCTTTGACCACCACGAGAGCAGTGGAACCACATTTCCCGCTCATTAATGGTACGATGAGGAGTGTCAAGAAGGTGCAGAGAGAAAAGGTGCCGCCTATAGCACCACGCTGCGGTCGGGCGCAACGCGAGCCAAGTGGAACCGTTATGGGAACTGAAGAGGGAAGCTAGACGTACATATAAGCCGCAATAAGAAGAGAGAGATCGAAATATGTCAGTGCGAAGAGCTTGAAATGCTGGCCGACAAAAAAATAAGTTTAGCGACTTGCGGAAGGTTCCAAGACTCCTGTAGGAACAACCATGGCGACCTAGTGACCGATGTCCAGAATCTACTAGAAATCTGAACGCATGGATGGAACACTTTTCGACCCTGGCAAATCCACTATAGACCAGGTGTTTACAATACGCCAAATATTGGAAAAGACCCGCGAGAAAAGGATTGACACTCACCACCTATTTGTCGACTTTAAAGCCGCTTTCGACAGCACTAAAAGGAGGTGCCTATGCGCCGATATGTCTGAATTTGGCATCCCCTCAAAACTCATACGGCTGTGTAATATGACGTTGAGCAATACCACCAGCTCCGTCAGAATTGGGAAAGCCCTCTCCGAGCCGTTCGCCTCCAAACGGGGTTTCAGACAGGGCGACTCCCTTTCATGTGACTTTTTTAATCTGATGTTGGAGAAGACAATAAGAGCTGCTGAATTGAACCACTCAGGAACAATTTACTACAAGAGTGTACAATTGCTGGCTTATGCCGATGACATCGACATCATCGGTAACAAAAACCGCGAAGTCTGTTCTGCCTTTTCCAAGTTGGATAAGGAAGCAAAGAAAATGGGTCTGGTGGTAAACGAGGGCAAGACGAAGTATCCCCTGTCATCAAGCAGACAGTCAGCACATTCGCGCCTTGGCACCCACGTCACGGTTGACAGTTATAATTTCGAGAAAGTAGAGAATTTCGTTTACTTGGGAACCAGCACTAACACCGATAATAATGTCAGCATGGAAATCCAACGCAGAATCACTCTTGCCAACAAGGACTACTTTGGACTGAGTAGGCAATTCAGGATTAAAGTCCTCTCTCGACTTGCTGATATATGGCGCAGAAGCATGGTAAGTGACAACATCCGATGAGGTGGCTCTTCGAGTATTCGAGAAAAAATTTTTGCGGAAGATTTACGGGCATTTACGCGTTGGCGACGGCGAGTACCGCAGACGATGGAACGACGAGCTGTATGAGCTTTACAACGACATGGACATAGTGCAGCGTATTGAAATACAGTGGCTTCGCTGGCTTGACCATGTCGTTCGAATGGACACCGACGCTCCAGCTCTGAAACTATTCTGGCTTCACTTGGTATTTCCAATTGGCGTCAGTTGGCACAGAAGAGAAATGACTGGCGCGCTTTGTGGAACTCGGCCAAAATCGTCTTGGCGGTTACAGCGCCAAATAAGAAGAAGAAGAAGAGTCACACAGTGTTATAATCCCGACGAAATCCTTAACGGTGGCACCGGGTGGGGAACGTTACGGGACGGTAGGAAGTTTAGTTTGGGTTAAAGTCTACCACTGACGGTTTAGGCTTTCGATGCTTCCTCCTCGTAAAATAAACATGCGCAGTAAAAAGTTAACTATTTAAATTGTCGAATAGTTTTATATTAACTTTTGTGAACTTCTGTTTATGTGGTTTTGTTCAACATATTTACCTATATTGGTTACAATAATTTTAAGCTATAATAAACAATTTTTTAGTAAGGTATTGGTTTTGAAAAGTTTTTTTTTTGTATAGCCCCCCACCCCATAAATTTCGATCTGGATACGCCCATGATTATATGTGTAAGTATAATACAAATTCGACGTATTTTTATTAGTGTGGTTCTTAAATGTAGGAATTTTTGTATCAGATTTCCTAAGCCTCACCCCATACGTTGATGCTAATATAGTCGAAGATATCACATATGTATAAATTTTGGTCCCCATTGGACACGGTTAAGGCGTATCGCACAGGGGGCAATGTTCAGATTCTTCTATGGGGACTCAAAAAATTTATATTCACTTTTTTTCATCTGATACCCAAAATCGATACTACTATAGTCGAAAATATCAAATATAGATTTTGGTCCCGATTGAAGGCGGTTAAGGCGTATCGTTCAGACAACCGATTCCAATCGGAACCAAAATTGTATAAGTGATATCCTCGACTTTATCAGTATCGATTTTGAGTATTAAGGGAAAAAACAAAATTTTTAATTTTTTGAGTGCGGCCTTTAGCCCCTTTGTGACACGCCTTAACCGACTCCAATGGGGACCAAATTTTATATGTGACATCTTCGGCCACGTAGTAACGATTTTGAGTATTAGAATAAAAAAATAATAATTTAAATTTTTTGAGTCTCTATTAGAGGAATCTCTACTTTGCCCCCTGTGCGACAGGACTTAATCGTCTCCAATCGGGACCAAAAGTTGTATGTGATATCTGTGGCCGTGGTATTACCGACTGAATGGGGGAGACTGAAAAAAATCGTTCATTTAATTTTTGAGGACCACCCTATTGTACATACATTCATGTGTACACATGTATAATTTAACAACAACAGCATGGGTGCATCCGAAAAATTCTTTTATGGGGGCTTTGGATGTGAATTAGAATTAACAAAAGGATTCTAATTTGTATGGAGATTTATTCCCGGTAAAATTGTCATATGTATGTATGTACTCAACCATTCCGTGAGATGCCGTTTTCGAGAGATCGTGAGATTTCATATTGAAATCAAAAATCTTAATTAAATATCATAATAATCAAAACGATCTTATAAAAATCCTTAGTTACTTTAATTTGTTCTGGTGTGCAGTTCTTCATAAGTAATCGTTATACAATTAGCAAAATTTTCAAAATACCGGTAACATAGGCTTAATTATAATCGATCAAAATCGCTACCAGCGATCAATTGCACAAACACTTATGGCGGTATCAATCGCTGCATCATAAACACCGCCATTTGAATTTGATCGCTAGTAGCGATTTTAAGCGCATCGAGCGATGCGAATCGCTAGGTCATGTACTTAGCCTGAGGGGGAAAATGATGAAAAGCAAGTCACAAATTTTATAAATATTGTATCTGTGTCAGCCAGAAAATGTGGTAGACAGCCTGCAGAGGCTGAGTTTGGGCCATATGCCTATTTAAGCGTTCAAGCGCCAAAAACACACACAGAAAAGAGTCCCTAAACAAATTTCACTTTGCTTTACTCAATTATTCGTTTCGGAAATATCAAGAGGTTTTTAAACCCCCAAAACCAGCCGCCCCTTGTTTACGCTCATGAAAAACATACAGAGCGATATGCCTTCATCGGACAGGTATTTAAGTCATTTGAAACGAACTACACGTTTCCAGTTAATTTAAATTCGTAATATTTCTCGCATCGTTGAAATTTAACAACGTAAGATACTCAATAATCCGCAAATCGTTGTGAACTTCGATAAAACTGAAATGACTTTTGAGTATAGCCAAGATATTGCCAAACCGCCGGAGTATTTGAATTTGCAATTCATTGAGGATGTGACGGAAAATGCATTGCGGGAAACAAATGTTAAAATCATAAAAGCTAGCTTCAGTTTAGGCAGTGCTGCAGGCGAGAACTACTGCAGCTTGGTATATCGCATGAAAGTGCAATACGAGTTAGCAGTGTCGGGTAAGCATGGAGAGTTATCTGTGATCGTTAAATGTCTACCTCCCATGGATGGAATTGATTTCCTGGATGAAATTAGCGTATTTGTAAAGGAAAAGACAATATTCGAGGAGATGTTACCAAAACTCTCGCTGTTCCTGCAGTCGGGCGAGCGCTTCGGTGGGCGGTATGTATACTAACACTGTAGTTCTTTATACAGAAAAAAAAAATGTTTCAACTAGCGTTTTTTACCTATTGTAGTCTCTATCACGCCATTAAAAGGCCTGTGAATTGCTTAGCCTTCGAGGATCTAAATGTGTGCGGTTACCAGATGGCATCGCGTGAACGAGGATTGAATGAGAAGCATGCGCGCTTGGTGATGAAACGCATTGGGCAATTTCACGCAGTCTCAATGCATCTCGCACAGAAGGTAGGCGAGATATTTAGCAATATCAAAAACAAAGTACGAGTATGTATTTGTATCGGCCAATTATATTGCATGGGTCCACTGGTAAAGTCCCTGTTAGAATAAGCTGAATGTCAACCCCAACTCTAGTGCTAGCGTCGTACTCGTACACAGCAAAAATTCAACCAAAAATTGGTTAATATTACCAAATTCAAACTTGAAAAGGAATCAGTGTGATTTTTGGTTAATATTAACAATGCCTTGGTTGATGTTTTCAACAATTATTTGGTAACATTAACCACACTTTTGTTTACATTAACCAAACTTTTGGTTATCGATTTTTTCGTTTGAATACGGTTATGCTCTGCACTTCACAGGGGCTTTTTCATAATTCGGTGATACAAAAGAAAAATTTTTATAATCAAGCATCTCTACACACTCAGCTACAGCCGCTTTATAAATTTGTCTTTAGATGTTCAACTTGAATCAATTTTCTTCGTCGTTTAATTTGGTTCTACACTTCGCAGATGCTTTTTCGTGATAAAGAAGAACGAAAAACCGAACAAAATCAAAATTATGTATCGCATTCGTACTGCTTGAATCACATTGCTTTCAATCGGCTTATTAACCATGAAAAAACCAAACTACAATTTGGTTGAAAAAACCATTGTGCTTTTGGCTCAGTGTAAGCAATACGGAGTAAGCTGTCGCAGTCATTGGTTTTTTCCCTCAACCAGGCTTATGATCTCTCAGCAATTTTTGAAAACTTCGACTTTATTCCTGAAGAAACGGATCGGTATGTGGCAGACTCTGAAACCGAGGTCCAGTGAAGATATTCAAGGATGGTCGATGTTGGATAGTACATAGAGTTGGAAGAGGTTGGTTGTGTCAGAAACAGCAGCGAAAATAAGATAAAGCGTCTTATCTGTCGCTTGCAAAATAGAAATAGGTCCAATTTTTCCACAGCTACAGAGTCAGCATTTTTCAATGCTAATCTGGCATTAGACTATCAGTGTACAATATATCGAACTTACTGGCTACATACCAGTGTAATATCAACAATACGGGCAAATTTCACTCTGACAGGAAAGCGGTCATCTGGGTTCCATGATCGCGTATGGCCTCGTCAGAAAACGCCCCTTGGTAACCTCGTATTACTTCCAAATTAAACAGAGACATGACAGGAAACTGGATAGCTGATTAATTGGCTAAGCAAGGCACTCTTGAGGTCATCTTTCCTGACATGGAAGCGTGAACTAAGTAATCTTGGAGAGATGGGTTTTAGTCAGCTCAGTGAGAGCTGGGCGAAAACCGCGACAGACAAAGTTGCATAGCTTTCTGGCCAACACTCGACCGCGCGGTCAGTAGAGCTTCTTTAGCTGGCCAAACGCCAACTCTCACGAAATGAAAAAATAATACTTCCCGAATAATACAACGATAGGCTTTATATTACTCATTTTTTAATTGTGTGCCTCGCACAAATAAGAAGATCGGATATTGTGTTTTCCTTGGTCCTGATAAAGTGAAGTGCATAATTTAGCAAGTTATTAAAACAGTAGCATTTCCTTCGCTTTCTCCTCTCAGCTTTAGGGCCACCACTGTTCTTTTGTGAAGTTACTAGTTATTCCTAAAATGGCGCTTGTCTTATTTGTTTTATTTTAATGATTTACTATCCCATCCGCAGGACCCACATATACCCCAGCTCTACAACCGCGGCATGCTGTCCCGCAACGCACTCAAACCTGACGGCTTCCTGCTGCGATTTTTCTCCCGAAGTGCCAACGCTCTACTGCAGCTCATCTCCAAATGGCCCGATTACATGGATATTGCTGAGAAATTGCAAAAATACATTGAAAACATAGCCGATAATTTGGTGCGCGCTCAGGCACCTTCTCCAGATGACACATTTCGCGTTCTAAATCATGGTGATCTTTGGGTCAATAATATACTCTTCAAATACGATGACAATCATCAGGTGCAAGATTGTATATTTATCGATTATCAGATGACAGTGTGGACCAGTCCGGGCGTTGATTTGAATTATTTCCTATACACCAGCTTGCGATTGGACGTATTGAAAAATAAGCGCGATGAATTGTTGAAGGAGTATTACCATCATTTTCGCGCTAAACTTGTCGAACTCAACTACAATCCTTTGCCGAGCTTTCAACAAATCTGCGGTGAAGTGCGCAGACGCGCTAGCTATGGGCTGTTCGTTAATTACGGCATCTACCCGCTCGTTGTACAGGATAAAGAAGTAGCTAGTGATAGTACTTTGGATAATATGGCTGACGCAGATTTTGCGGCCAAAAAACTTGAAGAATTGTTTGCTTCCGTGCAACTGACAGAAACGCTGCGGTACACTTTGAGAGAATTCGATAAAATGGGGGTTTGGGATTGAGTACGACGAATATTATTAGGTTTGTTCGTCGAAAATCCAGCAAGAATTATCCAACACTCAAAATATCAGAAAGTAAGAAAAAATTCTCTCAAATTCTCTCTCATGTTGAGAAACTTGCAAATTTCTGCACGAACACAAATTTGCAGGAATTTGCAAGTTCCCCTGCCAGCTGGCGTCCACGGTTGCATTTCAAACATAAAAAATTTTTATAGAATTTTTAAAATTCTTTCGGATGGCCAAAAACAGGATATACATGTATATTTCTTGTTGCTCTGACTTTCTTTAACATACATTTCAATTTCTTCATCGTACTAGCTGTCGGGTTTCTCAAATCGACTCTGGTTGAAATTGCATTCCGATTGCGAATACCATTTTTTTCAGCCGAATTAAGTTCAAATCAATGGAATTAACTAAATTAATTATATCAACAATTATTTACTTCCTTTTTTCATAAATTTTTTATAAATTTTTATATTTAACGAACTAATTTATTCAAATTATTGTAGACAAAAATGCAACCATGCACCATAACCACATGTATTTCGTGTTTGCAAATTCTTGCTGGCAAAATTTTTTCCAGCAAGAATTTGCCACTTCTCTCCAAGAGAACTGTCACTTTGCTCTCACAATTTTTGAGTGTTGGATAGTTTTTTGGTCTGCACGAACGCGATTTGGGCAAAAATCGTGATAATTCGTACAAATTCGTACAAATTTTTTGCTCGACGAACAAACCTATTAACTTCAATGGTCAGGTTTGTTAGTTGTTAGGATAATTATATGATATTTTATTTTAAAAAGTTGCAATAAGTTGCTTAGAATATCGTGTAAAAAGGTCTATATTTAAGATTTTTTAAATAAAAAAATTTTGCAACAAATCTGCAAGACTATTTTTTGTCGATTCCATCTCATATTCGTAATAGTTTGAACATAACCAACTTTAAGAGTGTTTTGTATTCTTATATTTTTTTTTTAAATGCTGTGTCATATCCAAAGTTATACCCTTTTCCTCTGAGGCTCCCTATCTAGTTAGGTATGGTTTAATCAATACATTATTCTTATGTTTTTCCTTGCGCTTCGCTTGCGATTCCCTACAGAGTTTTGTAAGTTTTTGTTGTTCCTGTTTTTCGGATGTTTTTCTGAAATTTTTCAGATTGAGTTTTTCGTTGACTACGCTTTCCTTCGGCACTTCACATATACGCTTTTTCATTATTCGGAAAAAATAACGTATCTTTTTATTGCGTGTTTCTATACGTTTCTGGAAACTAAAAATGAACGAAACTGCAATCTCGGCAAAGCGTACATTTCTCTGCTGTCTGATGTCTGCTGCTCAGCATCAAATGTAGCGGCAACAATAAATAGGACAACGCAAAGTGGCAGCGAGCAAACCGTCGAAGTCAGAGCGGCTTCCATTTCCAGGCGTATTACCTCCGCTGCGAAGGCGGTCATAAGGCAGCAGCCGTCAGCAGCTGATACAATGCAAGAACTGGCGCTGATGGCAGCTGTTAGATTAGCGCCCAGAAAGCCTAGAAAACCAAGGCAGCCTGGAAATGACGTTAAGCTAAACAGGCCATGTTACTACATACTTAGTTACATGCAAAATGCACATGTTGTTGTAGCTGGCAGGGGTGTTGCTGTTGTTGTGTGTTGGTTGGTTGGTGTTTGCCGTTTGGTTACAGCCAGAGCGCAGCAGCAGATGCGATGAGCTCACACAGATTGTGTTGACAAAATTTGAACGTGACCAAACAGTAGCAAAGTGAAATACGCCAAACAGTGGCTAAGACATTGGTTAGCAACAAGCTATCAACTTCCATGACTAGAGAAATGTAATAAAAGCAATTGTCGCAACAACAATGTATCGGACATGTTGCACAGTGACTTACAATGAACTTAAAAGTATGTAATAAATGCTCTGAAGTTGGGTGAAATGAATACAAACGAGGTAGAACTTTCCGCCGAATTAGGTTATTAGACTGCCTCCATCTGATAAACGCAAATTCCGACATCATAGGTCAGGTTAAGCTTTAAAATCGACAAAGGACCACATTCATCAGTTCGTTTACGGTGGGCCTTAGCCCTTGGTGCAATTCGCTCGATAAGGCCTTGTATGCTATATATACAATGTATATAGTATGTATACATATATGAATATAACAAGAAAATGCAAAACCTCTAATTTTATGGGAGAGAGTAAAACTTGTCTTAATTCAAAACCCTTCCCTCTTTTAAACTGAATTATCTCTTCTTCTTTTATCTAAGTATCGATATTTTATTATAAATGGTTAAGGTTTTGAAGCCACGAGCTTCCGGTGAGCAAATATCTTTTTTGGCACAAATGTCAGTTACGAGATTTTGCAGAACCACGATACGCGGATTTGTACTTTAAACGACGATATGTAGAGAGTTGGCACATAGTCAAATTTCAGTTTACAAGCATGCAACTCGTATCTCGTCGTAGGCGGGAATGTGCAATATTGACTCCGTCGTTCTTGGCTCGGGCTCATCTTCTCCAGTTATTTCAGTTCGTTTCGCCTACAGGATTTTCTCCAGATCTTGAATTATTCGACTAGAATGACTTTGATATCATGATGGGAGCACCGCTCGTGAGTGCGCCCCAAGTGCTCATAGAAGTAGTACAAAGGATTGGGCGGTGATTACCATGGTGCAAGAGAGGGAATTCACTGAGTGTGCATTCTGGCAGACCCTTTCTGCATCCAGTGTCAAAGCACAGAAAAGATATACAAACATAACTTATTCAAACGATCCAATGCTAGCCTCTTCCTGCCTTCTTCACTATATTTAGCAAGTTTTTTCACTCAAAGGAGCAAGGGAATAGTACACAGTGCATAGACGCTCTGAACATTACCGAACCAATGCACTATGGTCTGGCAAAATAGCAAATAGTAGGCTTGCCAAAAGTCATTTTTTAAAGTATCGATAAACCGAGTGATTTTCATCCCTTCACTAAATTATTTCTCCAGAGTAAAAAAGTGCATACTCCCTATTTTCTTAAAGAGCTTTTCCATTGAGATATCAGCTGTTAAAGTTTACATTTCTACAAAAAATTAAAAAAATAATAATTTCGTGGTCAGCATTCTTGTCTTCGAGTCATAAAGGCACTTCAAAAAATATAATGGAAAAGTATAATGAAGGTGATATTTTTTTATTAACAAAAAGAAAGCTAGAATATAGCTTGCTAAATAAAATAAAATACATTCTTTTTTAAAACGAGTTCTTGGGCTAAAAATCATGCTACACTTTTTTGCATTGTTTGAATACATAATGAGCTTTTTTCGAAGAAAACTTCTACGTGTGTTTTGCCATACTTTTCGATATTTGAAAAGACGCAGTCAGCTAAGATGCCAAAAAAACGCCGATTTAAACTTTTTGCTGCCAAATGTTATTAAAGGAGTGCTCCCCGAAGAATATAACACCTACTTCAAGGAAAGAGCAAAAATATACATATACAAGTAAATAGGTGAAAAATTCATGGTTGCATTTTTTGTTCGAACTTTTGCGTTATATTATTTTTTTAACTTTTTTACCTAGCCTAATTATAAGTTGTTGTGCTAGTGCCTTTTCAAGTAAATACTTAAGTACAAATTTGTATGAATAGCAAAAATGTGGTCTACTATTTTGAACTTAAATTTTTTTGCTCCGAGTCCGATAACCCCACATTGGACCCGCGTTTTAAATTTAAAAAATCTGACATCGCCACCTCGAAAACACCCTTATATAAAAGTTTTTGGTGAAAGGAGAAAAATGTAAAACTTTGTCGCCATATTGGAGCGGCCATTGTGAATTTCAAAAATCTGTAATCAGATTCGAAATCAGCGACCTCGAAGACCCGCATTTATATGAGTTTGTGGTGAAAAGGAGAAAATTATAAAATTTGGTCGCCATATTGGATCGGCCATTTTGAATTTAAAAAATCTAGCATCAGATTCGAAATCAGCGACAACAAAAACCCCCAAACACCAAGTTTCAAATCAATTTGGTTACCTCTGGACTTTTGGCCCGCAAATAGTAGTCACCAGACCATAGTGCAATGTAAGAAATAGCGAAATGTCCTTAAGTATTGGGATTAAGCCAATCGCAGCTGGGTGGTTATTGGCCAACAGAGGTGGAGTTGGAGTCGATTCGATGTCATGTACCCGACCTGAAACTACAGTCAACATGTACGTAAACAACGCCAGCATCACCCGTTCTCAACACGTTCACATCACTGGCATGGGCAACAGACACAGTTAACAACAGCAATATTTAGTTAGTAGCCCTATCAGAAGTAGCTGCAGCAACTCAGCCAAACGGTACAACCACAAAACTACGGTGACAACACAAATCGAGTCAAATTCAGAGGAAACCATCCATGCCACGTACGATAGTTGAGCATTTAACTGATTGCACTGGCGAAAAGACAAAAAAAAAATAAAAACAAAAACGGAGACCTGCAGCGTTCACAATCGCAGGGAGCGACACGAGCAAACACAGCAACAACGCAGCCAGCAACAATAGTACATAACATCAAACGGAAGATCTATAAAGTGATTGGAACAAGAGCGAGAGAATCTCCCGTTGGAAAGTGGCAACAATAGGTGGCGACAGCGGTAACAACAGTAGCCGCCGCCTGCAACTGATTGCGCCTCTTTAGCCGCTATTCGTTCAATCAATATTTGTTGCTAGTCGTATGTATGTACATATGTATGTATGAACTTGAATTTTTAACGGTACAAGAACATGATATATAAGTACCCTGCAGGAAAAGCTACCAGTTTTGATCTGGAATCCTACCAGTTTGCGTTTCAGTCCACGTTTTCACGTTGTATCCTTTTTCAATGTGTCAATTGTCCGCTCCTGCACCAGCAGTAGAAATACTAGTAGCAATGGCCCCAGTACAAAGCTCTTGCGCGCCATTCGAGGGTCCGAGTTCGAATCTCAGTCGGCGAATACTTTTTTTTTATTTTTTATTTGCATATGTATATGGGAAAATCTAAAAAACAGGTACACTTTCAAAACAAAAAGTTTAATTTTTTAATTTGTGGGCACACCTATATATGTTTTGTATATGATTCTATTCTATGATATCTTTTAATAAATCGATAAGTAAAAGTGTGATTCATTTTCATCAAGTGCTGCAAAAATTAAACGAGAAATAAACATTTAGTTGTAAATTTTGAGCAAAGATTTTGAATGGTGAACTCACTTAATTGCAGCCTTCTAAACTTAATTACTCCCTTTAACAGATTGCCTCCGGTTTTCGAGATAACGGTACTTGAAAATTTGATTAAATTTTAACTATTTTAAAAATAACTCTCTCAGTTTTGAAGTTATTTTACAAAAATTAACCTTATTTTATTAATTAAATAACCTTAAATATTCCTTAAAATTATCGAAATAGGTCCACTTTAACGTATAGCTCCAATACAACTAATTACTCAGATATGTGTTTTTGCGCTATAACTCTAACTTCATATCTGAAAAATGAATATATATGTTAAAGTGAACCTGTACTAAATTTTTACCGGCTTAATTGTAAGAGTTATAACGAAAAACAACGGCTCTGAATAATCAGCTAGATGTTATAGTGAACCGATTTCGATGATTTTAAGAGATAGTGATGGTAGTGTTCAAATACAATCTTGTGCAAAATTTTAATAAAACATCTTCAAAACTGAGGGAGTTTTGTTTATAAAATAGTTAAAATTTAAGCAAAGTTTCAAGTACCGCTATCTCTAAAAATGGAGCTAATCGGGCAAAATGGGGGACGCAATTGAATTTAGGTGGCTCCAATTAAGTGAGAGCAACTATCAGAACCATTGTCGAAAAAAATTTTATTCGATACCACGATCGAAATATTCTGACTACA